GAGAAAACCAACCTGCTTTTCTTCGGCAATTATGAAGTGACAAATTACCAGTGAAAGAGCTCATCTGTCTGGATTTGTTTGGAGAGTCCCCTCCTCGCGGCAAACCTGAGGCACGGCGAGGGCCGGGATCACAGCCCTTCTCTTAAGGATTTCCAAACACTCTGCTGACACCCCACTCCATCTCTGTCAGCGCTGGGAATGCTCAGAAATTAAGCCGTGCCTTCCCAAGAGCCAGCCCTGCACCCCCAGCTCAGCATCTCCCCATCTCCATCCCCTGCAGGACCCGGAGCACAGGGAATGGGAGTCCCACCCTGATCCCACGTCTCCAAGAGCTCAGGATTTAAGGAATTGTGGTGTTCCTGATAAAGCAGAGAGCCCCGGAGCTCTCCGTGTGCCGTCGCTGAGCTCCCAGGGCAAGGGTGAGTGCCGTGCACACCCAGCCCGGAGACACAACAAAAGCCCGCTGAGAGGTTTAATTGCATTACAATCATCTGCTGGTATCAAGGAATCGGGAGGAGAGTCAAAACAGGCACTTTGATCCCTGCAGAAGCTGGAAAAACAGCAACGACTTGGCCAAGGTGCAAACCTCCTCCTCCTCTTCCTCCTCCTGGAGGGAGAGCAGAGCCTTTCCCAGGTTTGGGGCTCTGGGAGTGCCCCCCAAGCAGAAAACACAGCAGGAACCAAACACAAGATGTTAAAAAAAAAAAAAAAAAAAAAAAAAAAAAAAAAAAAAAAAAAAAAAAAAAAAAAAAAAAAAAATCGGTGGCCAGCTCGGCTTTGCTTTCTTTTCTGTTTTAAGCATCGTTAAAAATAGAAGCAGACCCGATTTTCAAAGCGGGATGCGGTCGGCCAAGCAGCGGGCAGCAGCGACCCGGGCAGCCCACGGAGCATCCCGGGCTGCCCCGCACATCCCAGCCCGCTCCACCCGGGACCAGGGGCACAAAAACCCTCGGGAGGGAGGTCAGTATTTACTCTGCAAACACCGAGTGCTGCCCGGAGGTTAAGAGGCATACAAGCTGCTGGAGATGGGAGCGTGGCCGGGCGGGTGCTGCCGGCTCCCTGGGGGCTCCCGAAGCGGGGCAGGGAGTGGGAATGGGTAGTTTTGGGTAAATAACCCCCTGTGCCCCTTCCCTGCCCCCCAAAAACCTCCTGCCGCCGCTTCCCGAGTGACAAAACCTCATTTTTCCCAACTGAGGAAACACGGATCGGCGCTAACCGAATTGAGGCTCGGATTTTCCATCTCCATCCACCCGGCCCCGCCGCCGGGGGAGGATTTATCCCGGCTGTAAACCCGACAGCGAGCTCAGTCTCGTTTGCACCTGGCAACAAATCCAGGTTAAGCGCAGCCTAAAGGCTCCCGAGCCACCCTCTGCTGCTCCGGGGGGGACTGGGGAGAGCAAACATCTCCGGGATCCCGTGCTGGGAGTGCCCCAAAATCCCTGTGTGTGCCCCCAAATCCCTCTGTGACCCCAAATCCCTCTGTGTGCCCCCTAATCCCTCTGTGACCCCCAAATCCCTCAGTGCCCCCTAATCTCTGTGCCCCCAAATCCGTGTGTTCCCCCCAAATCTCTGTGCTCCTTAAATCACTCTGTGCCCCCCAAACCACTCTGTGCTCCCCAAATCCCTGTGTGCTCCTTAAATCCCTCTGTGCCCCCAAATCCCTCTGTGCACCCCAAATCACTCTGTGCCCCCAAATCCCTCTGTTTTCCCCAAATCCCTATGTGCCCCCAAATACCTTTGTGCCCCCAAATTACTCTGTGCCCCCAAATCCCTGTGTGAGCCCAGCCCAGGGTGGCCTCTGTCCCCGCGGTGCCACCGGGCTGGCACGGAAATGCCATCGCTGGGCATCCCCGAGCCACAGCGGGCACCGGGGCACAGGGATCGGGAAATCCCTCACGGGAATACCTGAGGAAAAGGGAAAAGGTCCCGGGGAGAGCTGGGGCTGCTCCTTCCTCTCAGCCAGCCGGGATTTGTTGGGTTTGCAGTGCCCTGGAATGGGGACCCCGCTGGGGAGAGCCCCCCGGGAATAACTCCAGGCACACCAATAAGGACAAACGAGGACTTGGACTGGGTTATATTTTAATATGCTCATATATTTTCTTTTTTTTTTTCCTCCTTTTTTTTTTTTCTCTTTTTTTTTCCTTCTCATTTTTTTTCCACAATTCTAATACAATTGTTCTCGAAATACTGGCGTTTCCAGCAGCAGTTCTTTCTTTTTTTGCTTTGTTTTTTTTTTAATTTTCTTTTTTTTTTTTTTTAACCTTTTTTGTTGTTTTTGAAGTGAATAATAATATACGGTAGTGATTTCACAGTAAAACAGACCTGCGGGAACGCCAGAGATACGTGACAAAAGACACCCCCAGACCAGCCCTCCCCCCCCCTCCCACCCCCCTCCCATCCCCAAAAAGATTTTGGAAGTGGGGGGGAAAAAAAAAAAATAAAAAGTTCATTCAAAAAAATTATTTCAAAAGAGATTTCATATAAAGCCTTTAAAACACGGTCAGAAGTTTCTCCCTCTTCTCCAGATCCCTGTGGCTGAACACTTACAGAGAGAAAGAGAGAAAAAATAGAGAGAGTTTATAACAATCTCTGTAGAAGAAACAAAACAATCCAGGAAAGAAAATATCCAAGGATACGGTAAGGGATAAAATTACATTTGTACAAAAATAGATTTTTAACTTTATTGATGCTTTAGATATTTTTTTCCTTATCTTTTATCTTTTTTTTTGTCATTCTAAATTTTAATGTCATTTTTTTTTAATCTATGTATCCCATAGCCAAGGCATCCATCACTAAGTATTGGGAATTGCTAAAGCTATTCTTTACTCCAAACCACCTGCTTAAAAGAATGAAAACAAAACAAAACAAAACAAAAAAGAAGAAAAAGGAAACAGAAGAAAAACAAAACAAAAAGGCATCTTAAAATAGATGCAGTTCCTTTGTCTCCAGGAATAAAAATCCAGATTTGGCATCTGCCAATTCGGAAAGGGATTCAGATACAATGGAAAAAAAGAATTGACTTAAACCACAAAAAGCCAGGAAATTCTGTAATTGCTACAGTTCTCTAAGTGTATATGTGAGTGGGGTATTATACAGTGTTGATATCTACAGTACATACACGGACACACACGGACACCCCGGTGAGCCAGCCCGCACACGGGGACAGCACAGCTCCCCTGCTGCTCTTGGGGACAGCAGCTCTCCAGCCTGGCTTTGGGATCAGCTCCCCAGCTGCTTTTAGGGTCAGCACAGCTCCCCAGGTGCTTTTGGGGTCAGCTCCCCAGCCTGCAGTGATGGGGACAGCACAGCTCCCCAGCTTTCTCTTGGGATCGGCAGCCCAGCGTGGTTTTGGGATCAGCAGCTCCCCAGCCTGGCTTTGGGATCAGCTCCCCAGCTTTCTTTTGGGATCAGCTACAGTTCTCTAAGTGTATATGTGAGTGGGGTATTATACAGTGTTGATATCTACAGTACATACACGGACACACACGGACACCCCGGTGAGCCAGCCCGCACACGGGGACAGCACAGCTCCCCTGCTGCTCTTGGGGACTGGGATCAGCTCCCCAGCTGCTTTTAGGGTCAGCACAGCTCCCCAGGTGCTTTTGGGGTCAGCTCCCCAGCCTGCAGTGATGGGGACAGCACAGCTCCCCAGCTTTCTCTTGGGATCGGCAGCCCAGCGTGGTTTTGGGATCAGCAGCCCCCCAGCCACTTTTGCCAGCCTGCTTTTGGGGTCAGCTCCCCAGCCTGACTTTGGGGTCAGCAGCCCAGCTTGGTTTTGGGGTCAGCAGCCCAGCCTGGTTTTGGGTCAGCTCCCCAGCCTGGTTTTGGGGTCAGCAGCCCAGCCTGGTTTTGGGGTCAGCAGCCCAGCCTGACTTTGGGGTCAGCTCCCCAGCTTGGTTTTGGGGTCAGCAGCCCAGCCTGGTTTTGGGTCAGCTCCCCAGCCTGGTTTTGGGGTCAGCAGCCCAGCCTGGTTTTGGGTCAGCTCCCCAGCCTGACTTTGGGGTCAGCAGCCCAGCTTGGTTTTGGGGTCAGTAGCCCAGACTGCTTCTGGATCAGCAGCCCAGCCTGGTTTTGGGGACAGCAGCCCAGCCCAGGGCTGTCCCCAGTGCAGTGCAGGGGTCAGCAAGGCCAGGGCTCAGCATTTCCCACACCCCAACGGCCCCACGGGCACTCCTGGGCAGATCCAGTGCCAAGGGAAGCTCGGAGTTGCCATGGAGGGGTTTGGGAAGTGCTGGACTGGGTGTGGGGTGGGTGGAACACGCAGCGAGGGGTGCAGCAGGTGGCTGAAAGGCTGATGTTTGTGCCATCTTTAGAAAATGAAAGATCGTCCCACCAACAAAAAAGGAATTAAAATAAGCATTACAAACAGATCACCCGAATCCGAGCAGGTTTTTGCAGGAGCACTGAGAGCTGGTGAAATCCACGTCCTACCTCTCCAGGGAATAATGTGCCTTTTGTTTTCCTTCAGCCACGCTCACCTCTCCACACTCTGCCTTATCATGATGAGGACAACAACAACAACAACAAAAAGCCCAAAGTGAAAAGAATACAAAGGAAAGACTCAAACTCATGCAAAGCTCGTTGCTTTAAGGCTGCTCTGGCTGTTCCCAACACACAAAAGCTTCTCCTTCCCACGGGAAGGGCTGGGGTGAGGATGGAGGGGCTAGGCTGGGCTTTGGGGGCTCAGGGAATCCCAACTCCCTTTCACCAGCTGAGATTAAATCCCCAGGACAAGGCTCAGCCTTTCCCAAAATCCCCTCCGCCACGGGCATGGATTGAGGCTGTGCTGCTCCAGCAGGGAAACTGAGGCACAGGGATGAGCCTGACCTGGAGCTTGGGGCCTGCAGAGCCTTCCCCTTGGCTTTGTAAGGTCAGATGCTAATGGGGATGGGATGGGATAATGGGATGGGATAATGGGATGGGATGGGATGGGATGGGATTGCATGAAGATTGGATGACATGAGATGGGATGGGATGAAATGGGACAGGGTGGGATGGGATGGGGACAGATGGGAAAAAAAGGGATGGAAGATGATGGAACGTCACAGAATGGAAAAGGATGGGATGAAGTAAAATGGGATAAGGATGGGATGGGATAATGGGATGGGATGGAATGGGATAATGGGCTGGGATAATGGGATGGGATGGGATGGGATCTCCCACTGTGCCACCCTGCAGCCACCACAGAACCCAAGAGCCCCTCCCCAGCCACCCCCAGGAAAAAAGTGGCTCAACCCACCAGAGACCAGCGGGTTTATCCTAGTGCAACATCCACCAACTTCCCCAAAGCTTTTCCTCTGTGCCAAGCAAGTCCCAGGCTCCTTTCTGCTGGGGCCTGGGGGCTGCCCAGGGCTGGGTGGGCTGGGGGCTCCGGGCTCTGCCACCTCCCTGCACCCCCTGGGGCTGCGCCAGCCTCCCGCTGGCAGGGAACAGCCTGCTCGTGTTTCCTGGCACCCTCGCCAGATTTCATTTCTCCTGCCTCGTTTTCTTGGCAAATTCTTGCAGGGTGAAGCTGTTTAATAATATTTTCAGTGGCTTGCAGGCTGCTGGGGAAACAGAGCCAAGGCGCTCTGCCTGCCTCTGCCGATTCGCCACTTCGGGCCAGCCCCAGGGGGAGCTGCCACCTGAAATCCAGAGTGGTTTTTTTTATTTTGGAGCTGCAGGGCATGGAGCTGGGCACTCCAGCTGGGATGGCAACAGGCAGGGGGCAACGGTGTCCCCTCCAAAACAGAGGTGGGAGTGAGGTGGTGGGCGCTGCTCCATCCCCCTCCAGCAACAAAGGAGTTTTCAACCAGCTGCAAACCATGGGGAGCAAGAAGGGATTTTGGGGACCTCATCCTTTGCTTTTTAAAGCACAGACCACATGGAAGTGGTGGGGAAGCACCTCCTCCTCAGCTCCCAGCACAGTGCGTCCATCCTGCCAAGGGGGGAAAACCCTTCCCAACATCCCTCATCATTCCCTCTGCTTCGTTTTTTCTCCAGCTCGTGTTTTTGTGGGGCACAGGAGACACCAGGTGAGGAGGGAGGGGAAGGGGCATGGTTCCCTCGCTGGCCACACACTCCTGGGGGAATCCCATCCCGTGGGGTGTGAGCACATTCCTGTCCCTAACCCCCAAAATCCTGTCACCAAGACTCAAGGAAAGGGTTGTGCAAAAGCCAAGGTGCTTTTGGTGCTCTCAGAATGCCGGGGAGGACAGGGATGATGCTGCTGCCACATCCCCCACTCAGCCAGGCCCTCCCACCCTCACGGGGCAGATCCAGGGCAGGGGGGAGCCCTGTTCTTGCTTCACCACTAATTAACAGCTGCAATTAACCAGCCTGGCTGAGCACTCCCACTAATTGTTGCCTTGCAGTGTTTTGCAGGGCTGAAAGAACAGGAGCAGCCTCCTGGGTGAGCCGAAACCCCAAAACCCCAGAGCGGGGTCACGGTGGGATGCTGGGGCAGCACTGGGATGTACTGGGATGTACTGGGATGCTCTGGGATGCTGTGCTGAGGGCAGGGCTCCCAGCAAGCCCCCAGGAGCTGGAGAAGGACCATGGGGAGTCCCTGGCAGCCTTAAAGCAAGCGCTGCAGCCGGCTCATGTCCACACCTCTGGGGTGGGCAGCGATGCCCGGGCACCCTCCAGAGTGGCCAAAGGGCATTCCCTGTGCCACTGCCACCGTGTTTTGGGGGGATTCAGCTCAATCCCAAATGCTCTGAAGTGGAAGGAGAAGGCTTCTCTGTGCAGCCACGGGTGACTCACTCAGGGGGCACGGCCTCTCCCTCCGCAAAGTAACTACCAAGACTACTAAGAATAGTTAGAAACCAAAAATAGAAATTATTTCTTTTTTTTTTTTTTTTTTTTTTTTTTTTTTCCAAAAACTCCATCCTCTGAAAATAGCCCAGCTGCAAATCTGGCAGAGTCCAACCACTCCCCTCGGCTCGTCCAAACCCCCACTGCCCCGAGGGCTGGCACCGTCCTTGTCCCCAGGGGGAGGGCTGGCGGTGACACCAGCCCGTGGTGGCTCATCCCAAACCTCACGGCACGGCGGGGGCAGGGGTTGGCAAAGCTCTCTCCGCTCCCACTCCTCTACAAGTAGCACAGGGAACCAGCGGGCAGGTCTGGAGACGCAGCAGTGACAGCGAACGGACAGGGAGGGCAGGATGACCAGGAGGGTCCCCAGGAGCAGACGGTGCCTCCGGCGCTGGGGACAGCAGGGAGGGACGGGCTGGGGCCGAGGAAAGCAGAGGAAGGGCCCCGAGGGAGCCCGGCCGGGCGAGGGACTGACCCAGCAGAGTTCTCTAAGTCATTTGGTGCGGCGCTTCCAGCATTTCCATCAGGAAGGTGTCGATGGGCGTGTCGCCTATTAGCTTGAAGAAGAAGAGGTGCTCCAGGCATTTCAGGCCGATGGATCGCAGGGCTGGGAGGCGGAGCAGGAGCTTGGCAAACCTTTGGGGAAAAGGAGATAACGGCACGGTCAGACATCCCCAGGTGCAGCTCTGCTTCCCGAGGTTTGGAGTCGAAGTGTTGGTATCGGACCGTGGGGCTGCACGCAGAGCTGCGCAGGGAAATCAGGAATTAGGGCCCAGCCTCGGAGATCAGGCAGCCACGGGGAGATTCACAACAAACACGGGCTGGGAACTGAGCTGGAAGGGTGGGACAAGGGATGAAAGGGCAGCCCTGGGCTGGGGGACACCCCGAGATGCTCCTGGGGTCCCTGCACTGCAGCCACCGAGAGGAGGCACCAGGGATCAGCCTTGGCACTGGCAGGGCTGCAAGCAGCAGCAGCAGCTGAGGTTTTGGTCAGGGAAAAGGCAAACAGCAGGGAAGGGGCTGGAGAGATGCCCAGTGGGGTGAGCTGTGTGATGCCCCTTTTCCTGCAGGCTCTGGGCAGCCCCAGCAGCCCTCACTGGGGTTTGGCCATCCCCAACTGAGCCCTGGTGCTGGAAACACCCCAAGTGTGGAGATGTGAGGTTTTTATACGTTTTCAGAAAGTTGGTTTATTATATTATTATATATATTAAAATACTACATTAAAACTATACCAAAAGAATAGAGTAAAAAAAGTAATCAGACAGCCAGGAAGAACAAGAATAGAATACATAACAAAATCTTGTGACTGCTCACAGCTTCAACACGAGTGGCTGTGATTGGTCATCAACTGAAAACAATCCACACAGATCAATGGAAAATACACCTGTTGCATTCCACAGCAGCAGACAGTTATTGTTTACATTTCTCTCCTGAGGCTTCTCAGCTTCCCAGCATTCTATGAAAAATCCTAGCAAAGGATTTTTCATAGAATATCATAGCTACACCCTGGGGCTGCCAGCCAGGGGTGACACCGAGGGTGACACAGGAGTTGGAGGGAGCTCTGCAAACCAGGGGTGCTCCCCTTGCCCAGGGCTCTGAGTCCCCACAGCCTGCCCTGCTGGGGCAGATGGTTTCAGGTCACAGCAGGCAGGAGGGCTGGGCAGGGCTGGCAGCTCTGCAGGACCCAGCCAGGATGGCAGTGAGCCACCCACAGCCACCCTCACCAGGGAAAAGCTGCTGCTGCTGGGCTCTGAGGGTGACAGGAGCCAGGAGAAAGCCACCAGCTTGGAGCGCCTTGGAGCAGCCCAGGTGCCACTGGATGTCACCTCCTTGAGTGAGTGAGTGCTCCCAAAAAAAATCCAGGGAAAAAGCCCTTCAATGGCCACAGCAGGGTCATCTGCTTTTCCTGCTGCAAAATCAGGGCTTGAGCAGCAGCAAAGAGCCAGGCAGAATGGGACCCTGCAGAAAGCACACACAGAGCCATGCACAAGCACACAGATATTCTACACGCATGCACAATTCCCTCTCCCTATTTTTTTTTTTTTTTGGTTAATTTTTTTTTTTTTTTTGTTGTGCTGGTTTTATCTGGGGTACATCTAGGACATCCCTGAGCGTGCAGAACCTCTCAGGTCACCAAGGATGGGTGTGAGCATCACACAAGAAGGTTCCCAGTGCACCTCTGAGGGATGCAGGGGGGGCAGCAGAGCCCAGGCACAGCTCTCAGGACATCCCTGAGCGTGCAGAACCTCAGGTCACCAAGGATGGCTGTGAGCATCACACAAGAAGGTTCCCAACCCGAGGTCACTCAGAGCCAGTGAGAGATTAAATTGCAGAGCCCCTGGTGCAGCTTCTGGGCTTCAAACACTCCCTCAAACACCACTGAGCACTGAGGCAGAGCCCTGGGGAGCTGCTGTGGACTGGTGCTGTGGACTGGTGTGGACCTGTGCCACCCTCTGCATGTGCCAGGCTGCAGATCCTGCACAACGTGCAGAGCAAGAGCTCACCCACCAAGGGAATGATCCAGAAGAGCTGCTGGCCATGATTCCCAAGGCAGCTCTCCTGGTGCCAGGAACAGCTCTTCTGCAACACCACAACAGCCAAAGTCCAGCGTCTGGCTCTGGATTTGCTCCAGAAATGCAGTTTAATAAAGATTTCTGGAAGAGGAGGGGTGATCCCTGCTCCGTGTCCTGTGCCCATCCCTCAATCCCCCTGCTCACCACAAACCAAACACACCCCATGGCACCCTCATCCTCACTCTGCCTGCCTCAAACCAACCAGCAACGTCCCAGAAATCCCTTCACAACACACCTTTCTTCATCTGCCAACATTTTGAGACCCAAAATGGGGGAAAAACCAAATCCAGCATCACTTCTGAGGGCACGCTCTGCCCACTGCACTCGCTGCTGTGAAAGCACCCTTTTCATTTCACATCCACACCCGGCCAGGAATGCAGGTGAGATGCAAATCCCAGTTGCCTGGGCTGTTTTTCCCTCACCATTCATGCACCAGTAGCAGCTTCCAGTGCTGTGCTTGGTTTCTCAAGAAGCTGTCAGGAACTTAACTGGCAGTTGCCAGCTCCAGGCTGTAACTGGGAAAATGCGCCCACTCAGCTCTGGAGCCATCCAGGAACACATTCCTGATTCCCCCTCCCATTCCCAGCTGGATTGGGGGAGGCAGGGAGGGGAGAAAAAGAGCATCAATTGAGGCTTTCACTTCCCAGCAATGATGCTCATCTGCCACTGAAAATTAACTCCATGTGAGTCCTATTTTTGCTGCGGTTTCGCTGGCCGTGGTTTCCTAAAGGGAAATGATACCCCCTTCCCACACGTGCTCATCCCACTGCTGGGGCTGCGGGAGCTGGGGCTCCTCAGCTCTGCCCACCTTGCTGGATTTCCTGGCAAGGGAATAAAGAGCTCTGTGCACTGCACAGGGGAGGATTTTTAGGGATGCTCAGAGCTGCAGCGGGTAGAAACGAGGGATTTATCCGCAGGGAATCGCTGGGAACAGAGAGCCCAGAACAGAGAGGGGACCCTGGGAGCTGCAGCACCCATTGCAGGGGGGTTTGCAGGGGGGCAGGGTGCAGGAGGAGGGGCACAGGGAGCTGACCTGCCGGGCTGGTCGGGGTATTTGTGTTTGCAGTAAGCCTCTAGCGACGCGTACACCTTCTCCCGCAGCGCCTCCACCTCCGCCGGGTTCGACAGGCCCTTGGAGTCTGAAAGGCAACACAAAAACCATCAGGCAAACGCCTCCAGCCTTCCCAGGCAGGCAGCAACCCCTCTGTGCACTCCCTCCATCTCTTCCAGCCCCACCAAAGTGTGGCTGCAAGCTCTGAGCTCCAGGCACTTGGGGAGCACTCGAAGGTTTACTCCACAATTACAGGTTTTTTCTCACCTCATACCTAAACCCCAAATGTTTTGGATCATTCCAGTGGTCCCTCAGACCCTCATTTGAAAGGGATTAATTCCCCCTCCAGCCCTGGGCTGGTGGGATTTCTGCCTCCAGCACTGTGGTGGGGCTGAAGGAGAAGCCCCTGCTCTGGCACAGCCCCAGGACAGGGCACAGTGAGGATCTGTTTTTAGCAGGGTGAAAGGGACAGTGCAGAAATCGATATCCCCAAGCACATGTGCCACGGGAACCTCTCCAGATTCCCCTTCTTTGACCATAAATGGCTAATCCCAAATTACAGACAATAAATTACTGCTGATTACAAGGAGGGGGGACGTAAAAAAAAAAAAAACAAACCAAACTGGTCAAGAAGAAAAACAAACCCATGGAACTGTAATAAACCCTGCTGGAACAGCATGGCCTGGCTGTGGTGGGAAAATCCAGGCAAGGAGCTGTGCTTGGGCACAAACTGTGCTCAGGGAGGGCAGGGCTGGTGTGGATGGAGAGGTTTGTCCTTGGCTGCCATCTGGTTCTGCTCTGATCCTCTCTGAAATCCAGAGATCCCCCCAGAGAGCTGTGCAGGTATGTGCAGGCTGCCTCCTGCTGCACAGGGATTTGCTCCCTGGAATGTTGGAGAAAAACCTTGGCACTGAACCTTCCTCTTCTCTTGGGCAGTTGGGGCTGAGAGGGAAAAGGGAGCAGTGTGACCCTCCCAAAGACTGAAACCATGGTCAAAAATTGAAGGTTTTGTGTATTTTATGAGCGCATTTCATGTCTTTCAGCCTCTCCAGGTCTGCAAAGGGCTTTTTCAGAAATGCAGGTAATAAAAGCCCTTGGATGATGAGGTTGGGAAGCAGAGACAATTATCTCCATGCTCTGGTGTTGCTCTAATCCATATTTTTCTCTTCAACAACATCTAGATTCCACTTGGTTCCAATTCAGGGACAATTCCCTCAAGCACCTGAACTTTCTTTTCACAGTCACTCTAAAAGGGGGAGAGCTGACAGGACAAGGGGGAATGGCTGTAAACTGAAAAAGAGTAGGATTAGATTGGATTTTGGGAAGAAATCCTTCCCTGGGAGGGAGGGGAGGCCCTGCACAGGGTGCTCAGATGGCTGCCCCATCCTTGGAAGTGTCCAAGGCCAGGCTGGATGGGGCTTGGATCACCCTGGGACAGTGGAAGGTGTCCCTGCCCACGGCAGGACGTTTGGAACAAGATCAGCTTTGATGTCCTTTCCAAACCAAACCAACTTTCACCCCTGCCTCCCTTCCTGCCCTGTGGAATCTGGGTGCCCTCTGCTACTTCCAACAGGGCTTTTTGGGGAAGAAAAGGAGAAAAAAGGACAGGAGAGCAGCCAAGAAGGACCAGGAGAGCAGAGGCAGGCACATACCAGGGTTGAAGAGGACAATGGCTCGCAGGCAGCCCAGCTCTGTCTTGTCCATCAGCATGTCCCTCATTTTGGACACCAGTTCTGTCAGTACTCTGCAAAAGGACAGAGAAAGCACAGAGTCAGCATGAAAATAAAAAAAAATAAAAGAGAATTAAAAGCCCCAGGTGTCAGAGCTGGAGTGAGAAGCTCCGGTCACGTTTAACGAAGCTGGGGATGGTGCTGGCCTGTACCAGCTGAGGATGTGGCCTCGTTTTCCTCCTCCATCAAAAATAGCTCATTAGGAACATCAATAGTTCCTGTGAGATACAACAGGGACCATAAAAACCGCCTTCATCCATTCACTGAGAGGCTCTGGCACCTGAGAAAGCTGCCTAAAAATAAAAAATAACAATAAAAACCCACCCCAACAGGTATCTAAAAGTAATTTCCTCTGCCGGTAATTTTTATTGCTCCCTTTGCTCTCACTGAAGGTGTTGGTCTTGAAGTATTTTCCACTGATTGCCCAGTTTTTCAAGTTAGATCCTGCAGCAAAGTCATGATCTTGCACTTATGACCTCACAGGAACAAATGATGTCACCCAGGTCCGAAGAACAATTTCCTCACAGAGCAGAGCAGCAAAGGTGATTTGGTTTCAACTCAAGATGAGTCTCAGGGAGAGAAATCAGCATTTCAGCAGCGTCTGGAGTCACGCTGTGGGTCAAACACCCTGCAAACCTGGCTTTAAAACACCTTCCCAAAGCCTGAGATTAAAGAGCCCTGGGGACATGCCTGTGGAACCTGCTGAGGATCGCTGGGGCCTTCTCATTGTGCAAATAAAATCACGTCTTGGTCCAATTAAAGATGAAAAGGAACAAAGGAGTGGCCTCCTCGTAACATTAGAAGGCATCTGGACCCCATGAAAGGGGCTTTGATTTGCACTGGGTAGCCTCTTCTGTGTTTGGGGCTGGTTTTGTGTTTTTTGCACTGGGCAGTCTCCTCCCTGCTTGGGGCTTTTGGTTTTTTTGCACTGAGTAACCTCCTCCCTGCTTGGGGCCGTTGGGTTTTTTGCAGGTTTCAGGAGGGGTTTTCTCCTTGTGTTTTCCTGGCATGGATTCCCTCATCCCGGGCTCCTCAGACCCCTCAAGCAGGCATGGAGGCAGTCTGGGGTGGAGGCAGGGATGGGGATGTCCAGGTGAGATGGTTTGATGGAAGCCCAGCCCTCCATCCCTGATGCTGTTGAGTCAGGGATGGAATGAAAGACTCCCGTCTTCAGAAGGTGAATCAGAAGGCAATTTAATGAAAATAGCAGGTCCTTTTTTGATGTGACTCGTTAAGGTGAGACTTGATTGGCCTCAAAATAAAAACCTCTCACAGTATTGGTGAGCTATGAACAGCACACTCTGGAGAGCCATATCTACAAACAATGGTTACAGAAAGAGAGATAAGAATTGTTTGAATTTTTTTCTCTAAGTTTCCCACTGATACTGTCATCTTTTCTGGAAAAATCCCTTTGCCCAGGATTTTTCTCCCGGGAAGCTGAGAAGCCTCAGAGGAAAGGAAAACAATTCTTATCTCATTTGCTTCTCCTGTGTTTTGCTGCTTTGGAATGTGGTTGGAGATTGTTTATCCAACAGGTGGTTGTTTCATTGGTTTCTGCTGTGAATTATTTTGACTTATTGGCCAACTGGGGCCAAGCTGTGTTGGGACTCTGGAGAAAGAGTCAAGAGTTTCATTAAGTAAGTATCCTTTCTGTATTCTTTAGTGTAGTTTAGTTTAGTATTCTTTTATATAATATAGTATCATCATAATTAGCCTTCTAAGAACGTGGAGTCAGATGCATCACTCCTCCCTCATTTGGGGAACCTGGCAAATACAACGTTCCACAGTGCCACTGTGATATTTTATGAAAATCCTTTCGCCAGGATTTTTTCTCCTGAGAAGGTGAGAAGCCTCAGAAAAGAAATGTAAAAAATAACTATCTGCTGCTGTGGAATGTGGCAGGTGCATCTTTGATTGGTCTCATGTGAATTTGTTTTTACTTGATGACCAATGACAGCCAGCTATGTTGAAGCTCTGAGCAGTCATGAGTTTTTGTTATTCATTCTTCTTCATTCTTTCTAACCTTCTATCTGTGTCTTTCTCTCTATTCTTTTAATATCGTTTTAGTATAGCATTTTTAATATAATATAATATCACAAAATAATAACTCAGCCTTCTGAAACAAGGAGTCAAGATTCTCATCTCTTCCCTTGCCAGGGTTGCCTACAAATTCCACACCACAGCTTCTCACAGCTTCCCAGGGTTTTCCTGGGAGAACCATGTCTGTCTGTGCTCAGAGGAGATGTGACCACCCATCCCATCCCTGCCCACCTGCTGAAGATGCCCAGGGAAGACCATGTCTGTCTGAGCTCAGAGATGTGATCACCACCCATCC